CTCACCAAAAAGTAGACAAAATACATGAAAAAGATGCTTTTCAAAAGAAGACAGACATGTGGCTAACAAGCATATAATAAAATGCTTATCGATAATGATTAGAGAGAAATGCAAAGAAAAAAAAAATAACCATGAGATACCATCTCACGACAGCTAGAACGGCTATTAAAAAGTGAAAAAATAAAAAAAATAGATGCTATTAAGGCTGCTGAGAAAAAGGAATCCTTATATGCTGCTGCCAAGAGTGTACATTAATTCAACCATTATAAAACGCAGTCTGGCAATTTCTCACACAACTAAAAACATAATTACCATTTCACCAAGCAACCTCATAATTGGGTATATACCCAAAGAAACAGAAATTGTTCTATCATAAGACACATGCACAAGCATGTTCACTGCAGCACTATTCACAATAGCAAAGACATGAAATCAACCTGAATGCCTATCAATGGTAGACTGGAGAAAGAAAATATATTATGATCGAGCATAATGGCTCATGCCTGTAATCTCAGCACTTTAAGAGGCCAAGGCAGCTGGACTGTCTGAGCTTAGGAGTTTGAGACCAGCCTGAGCAATATGAAAAAAATCCCATCTCTAAAAAAACACAGTAAGAAAAATTAGTGAGGCATGGTGGTACATGCCTGTAGTCACAGTAATAGTAGCACTACTTGGAAGGCTGAGGCATAAGAGGATTGCTTGGCCCACTGCAATCGTTCGCACCTGTAATCCCAAAACTTTGGAAGGCAAAGGCGGGCGGGTGAATTACCTGAGGTCAGGAGTTCAAGACCAGCCTGGCCAACATGGTGAAACCCCATCTCTACTAAAAATACAAAAATTAGCCGGGTGTGATGGTGGTGGGTGCCTGTAATCCCAGCTACTCAGGGGGCTGAGACAGGAGAATCACTTGAACCCAGGAGGCAGGTTGCAGTGAGTGGAGATGGCACCATTGCACTCCAGGCTGGACAACAAGAGCAAGACTGTCTCCAAAAAAAAAAAAAAAGAGGATTGCTTGAGCTTGGAAGTTTGGGGCTGCAGTGAGCCAAGATCATGCCATTGCACTTTAGCCTGGGAAACAGAGTGAGACGGTCTCCAAGATTAAAATATACAATTATTTTTTTAAAAATATGGTACATAAACATCATGGAATACTGTGTGGTCACAAAGAAACAACAACAGAAAAACAGGAAACAAGATTATGTTCTTTACAGCAACATGAAGTCGGAGACCATTATTCTTAGACAACTAATGCAGAAACAGAAAATCAAATGCATGTTATTTATAAGAGCTAAATAATAAAAACACATGAACACAGAGGGGAACAGACACTGAGGCCTAGTTGAGGGTGGAGGGTGGGAGGAGAAACAGGGTCAGAAAAAATACCTCTTTGGTACTATGTAACTAAAGTACTAACTTTAGTTACAAAATAATCTACACACAAAACCCCTATGACACAATTTTAGCTGTATAACAAACCGGCATGTATACCCCTGAACCAAAAATAAAAGTTAAAAACAAAAAACACAAAACAAAACTTCTGGATGGGAAAGTGCAATGCAGGCTGAAGGACTGGTTTGTGCTACATGTGGTGGCCCAGGTGGGGCTGTACTCTGATTTATTTCTGGGTCCATGCAGGCAGATGACATTATGAACCAGTGGTCCAGAACCCTAGGTTGGTGGAGAAAACAGGTTGCTGCAGCTGCAGATTCAGTGTCTGGAGGTGGGAATAGGCCAAGAGACTTGTAGACACTTTCATAAGTTTTTGGCAAAAAAGTACTAGTATCAGAAATGCTGTGGTAAAATTCCTGAGTGTGGTTTCTTGTCCTGGAAGAGGTGTGGACACGTTAATGCTTAGTGGGTATGTTTGTGAGTGGGTGAAAATCCTGTGGTGGCAGCTGTGGCCAAGGGGGTCTGTCATCACAGCTCCTTTCCTCTAAATGTTAGTTCTCTGTCACCCTGGAAGGAGAGCTGGAATCACAGAACAAGAAACAGTGTGACAGCCTGTGTAGAGCAGAGCACAGCTTCCCATTCCTGGACACCCAGAGTTTTATTCTAGGCCAGGAGTCTGTAATGTCTTTCTTCTGGCACCAAATCTGTCGTTTGCTGAACATGAAGCAATTCTGCAACACCAACTTATTGTCTAACACTTGAATTCTGACACCATCAGAATCAGCATAGACCCTGATTCAGGGCTCCGTCCCACAACGTTGTCCTCACTGCAGATGCCAGTCACAAACCCCATAAGCCCATCTATGCTTCTGAGATACTGTTCACAAATTGGGGACTGAAATGTACTGTTACTGAAATTTACTAATTCAATAGAGCTACACACATTCCGATAAGACATGTGTGTCTAGGGAAAAAAAATGCACAGAGATATTTTACAATACAGTGTCTGGAGCTTATTCTTTGCTTTCTTCTCATAGGAAATATTTACAGAAAGAAAACAAATCTTTTTAAGTATGCCATCAAATGTTTTGTCAAAAAAATGATTAATTGGCCAGGCACCATGGCTCACGTCTGTAATCCTAGGTCTTTGGGAAGCCAACTCGGGCGGATTGCTTGAGGCCAGCAGTTCCAGACCAGTGTGGCCAATGACCTTGTATCTACTAAAAATACGAAAACTAGCCCGGCATGGTGGCCGGCGCCTGTAATTCCAGCTACTTGGGAGACTGCGACAGAGAATCATTTGCGCTCAGGAGGTGAAGATTGCAGTGAGCCTAGATTGTGCCACTGCACTCCAGCTTGGACAACAGAGCAAGGCTCTGTCTCAAAAAATAAAAAGATTTAAAAAATTAAAATAGGTATCAAAAAATGTACACTAAAGGACAAATAGTTGATAAAAGTGAATTAGGGAAAGGAAATTAGCATTTGGGATATCAGACAAACTGGAAATTTAGTATTTTACTGCAAGCCAGAGTTAGGTTGAAGGAATAGGGGATTAGGGGTACACTTGAGGCCCTGCTTGAGACACATGTGAACAATGCAGGGAAAAATCAGTCCCCTGTGAAGTGTGAAAATAATTAAGTGGCAGGCAATTAGATTGAGGTGGTGCTAATTCCTGGACTTCTACTTCTAAAAAAAAAAAAAAAAAAAAAAACCTAAACTCAAGAGCATTTTTTGGTAAATTACTACATTGCCAGAAACAAAATTCAGGCTTAACCAACTATAAGCTGCCAATTAAGCTCTGATCACATAAGCAGGATACTTCCAACTTGATTATAAAAATTAAGAAACTACGCCAGGCGCGGTGGATCGTGCCTGTAATCCCAGTACTTTGGAGGGCCGAAGTGGGTGGATCACCTGAGATCAGGGGGTTGAGAACGGCCTGGCCAACACGGTATAACCCAGTCTCTACTAAAAATTTTTAAAAAGTGGCCAGGTGTGGTGACAGGTGCCTGTAGTCCAAGCTACTGGGGAGGCTGCGGCAGGAGAATAGCTTGAACCCAGGAGGCAGAGGTTGCAGTGAGCCGAGATGGCGCCACTGCACTCCAGCCTGGGCAACAGACTAAGACTCTATTTCAAAAAACTTAAAACAGGCCGGGCGCGGTGGCTCAAGCCTGTAATCCCAGCACTTTGGGAGGCCGAGGCGGGTGGATCACGAGGTCAAGAGATCGAGACCATCCTGGTCAACATGGTGA